TAGCTCAATAACATGCTTTTAAAAAAAGCATTTTTGATTATTCACAATAGCCAAAAGGTGAAAGCAACTCAAGTGTCTATCAACAGATGAATGTATAAACAAAATGTGGTATGTCCGTTCAATGGAATATTACTCAGCCATAAAGAGAATGAAATTCTGATACATGCTGCGACTTGGATGAACCTTGAAAATATTATACTAAGTGAAATAGCCAGAGACAAAAGGATAAATACTGTATTTCCATTTATATGAATTATTTAAACAAACAAAAATCAAACCCATTGCTGTCTCGAGTTGATTCTGACTCATAGCGACTATATAGGACAGAGTAGAACTGCACCATAGGGTTTCCAAGGCTGTAAATCTTTACAGGAGCAGACTGCTACATGTTTCTCCTGTGGAGCGGCTGGTAGGTTTGAACCACTGACCTTTAGGTTAGCAGCCGAGCGCTTAACCACTGTGCCACCAGGGCTCCCTATAAAAATATCTAGAATAGGCAAATTCATAAAGACAAAGTAGATTAGAGATTACCAGGGACTGGGGGAAAGGAGAAATGGAGAGTTACTGCTTAATGGGTACGTATCTGGGGTAATGAAAAAGTTCTGGAAATAGTAGTGATGGTTGCAAAAAACACATATATTTGAATTTTAATTTCACAAGTGGTTCATGAATCCTTTCTTACTGTGTAATATTTAACTATACAAGCTCCAAAGAGTAAAAAGCTGAGGGTCCCTGCACACAGCATACGTTCCAAAGGCAACTTCCTTCCCCATTCTAGAAACTAACCAGGCTTTAAAAAAAAAAAAAAAACCAAACCTGTTGCCATTGAGTCAATTCTGATTCATGGTGACGTCATGTGTTACAGAGTAGCACTGCTCCATAGGGTTTTCTTGGCTGTAATCTTTATGGAAGGAGCCCTGGTGGTGCAATGGTGAAACCCTTGGCTGCTAACCGAAACGTCGGTGGTTCGAACCCACCAGTGGCTCCACAGGAGAAAAGACCTGGCTATCTGCTTCCGTAAAGATTATCGCCTAGGAAGCCCTATGGACTATCCTACTCTGTCACTTGGGGTTGCTATGAGTCAGAATTGACTCAACAGCACACAATGACAACAATCTTTACGGAAGCAGATCTCCAGGTCTTTCTTCTGCCTTGCGTCTGGGTCGGTTCTAACTGCCAACATTTAGGTTAATAGTCAAGCACAAACCATTTGCACCACCAGGAACCTAAACACCATGCTAACTGGTGTTTCTCCAAGACCTTTTTCTATGCACTTACATTAAAATACAAACATGTTTTTGGGAAGTTATTTTATTTTATTTTTACCATACATGGAAGTATAAAATACACACTTGTCTGCAATTTGTTTTTTTTTTCATTGAATAGGTTGTGGAGAACCCTGTGAATCAGATCAGCACTTTATTTATTAGCTTTGGCCTTAGGGAGATAGATGGGGGTGATAGATGGGGGTAGGTGAAACCCCTTGGAAGCCACTTGGAAGCCCAGCATGGAGCTCGCAGTGGGACCTCCCCTCTGGCTGGAGTGTGACAGAGTGGTCAGCTTTGTGGGTGCTGCTCTGGGTGAGTAGCTGGTTCTCCAGCTCTCTGCAGAAGAGGCCCTGGCTTCAGGGGGGTATTAAAATATTTAACCACCAGAACCACTAGGGCACTGGCCAGTCGGTGTTGGAGACCCCATGCTACCAGCCGTTACCCTCTTACCGTGGGGAGATCCAGGGAGTTCAGGGGAGGGGCCAGACAGACTGGGGCAGCAGCTGTTTATTAGTTGGTTCAGATATTTCACCATTTTAACAACCAGATCAGCTGGACTAGTGCAAAGCAGCAAAGATCAACCCACCTGGCTCAGCCTTTCAGCATCTGGTCTGCCTGCCCCAGGTGACCCTATTAGACTTTGAGAGGGAATTTAAGCATCAAGGAGAAGATGAAGGGGAGGGGAAAGAGTGCATTTTTCATTTCTGGCTGGTCTGCTCTGGCTGCTGGGGGGTGGGGGCGGCGGAGTGGGGGTTGCCCCGGCAGAAAGCCCCACAGGCCCAGGATGCAGGCAGGGAGGATATGGGCAGCCACTGAAAGTGGGTTAATTGGGAAGATCCATCTCAAGCTCTGGGTGATTAGAAACGGGAGATGTCCTGAAAATACTCCTCTGGAAACCAGAGAGGCAAGCACCAGGAGGCCCTGGGTTTGTGGGGTCTGTCACAGCAGGCTGAAGGCCCAGCCCAGTGCTGCCACCAGAACCAAGAGCTGCTTTGAGTGATCATAGCGCCTGCAGGCCCTGGGGCTCTCCCTACCATTCACCCAGCAGCTTCAGTCCACCCTGGATCTGTATTAGTTAATCCCTCCCCAACCCTCCCTCCGCCCCTTGGGTGTTGCACAGGAGTGGCCTGCCCTTGCCGGGGCACATGAGGGCACTGGAGACAAGGCACCTGGTTAAAAGAAGTGCTGCTCTGCCAACTCATCTTACAGGGCACGGCCTTCCTTGCTTTTCTTGTGCCAGGCTGGCAAAGGGGTTTCTCTGCAGAGTCCTCTCGCCGCAACCTCCTACCCTGAGATTGTATCCAGGCCCTGCTTCCAAACGTTGGAGCTGGTTACTACGACCCTCTCTGAATTCACTCTCGTCTCTATTTTCCCTGCCTGAAGGCGCTACCCCCGCCTTCTAGGGCAGGAGCCAAGTTTGACTCTGGAACGCTAATCCTTAACTCCACTGTTCTCCATTTAGCCAGACCCAAGCAGCTGTTGTGCAGCTTCAGCCTCTAGCTCCCTCTCCAGGCAGTTTTGGAGAACTGCAGTGACAATTTAGCCTGCAGAGAGACAAGTCCCAAGTTCAGTCCCTCCTAATGGAGGTAGGTCATGGTCGTTCTAGGCTAAGCTGTTCATTCCCTCTGCCTTAGCAGGGAGGACGCAAGACTACGATTTTCTTATAATTATCCAACTTGGCAATGCCTACCCAGGACTTAAGTGGCAGCTTCTTTGCAGGACCAACTGTTTCACCGCCTAATTACCTTCATGGCGGGTTCCCCACTGTTTCCACGCCAGCCTTCCCTCTGCTCGCTAAAGACTGGTTTCTGGCTTCCCCCCAGCAAAGGTCTCAGCCTCCTCATTATGGTCGTTAACACCATATACTCACTCGATGGTTTTTGATCCTCGCTAAGGGGGGCAGCAGTCGTTGTGTTGGGGGCTGATGGAAAGTGGGGATGGCAGGCCAGTCCTCGGACAAAGAGGTGTATAACTGGAGCTTGAAAGCGGGGGCAGGTTTGGTCTAACCCCACCTGCTAGCTGGCTGATGGACTTCTGGGTGGTAGAAGTGGAGCTAGGAGAGGGTGACGTTTTTTCTCCACGTCCCTCCTCTCCCGCTCACTGCCACCCCACTTCTGGCCCTCAGCCCTTCTGCCAAGCGTTCTGAGGGTCCCCTGCTCCACATCTTTCCTATTCCAGGGTGGTCTGCAGACCTGCACGAGGGTATCACCTGGGAGCAGGTTAGTAATGCAGGATCTCGGGGCCCACCACAGGCTTTTGAGTCAGAATCTGCATGTTAACAAGATGCCCCAAGTTAAGGCTTGTGAAGCCCTGTCCTAGGACTGTGTCCCCATGCTGCTCAGCATCTATGGCGTCCTACTCATTCTGACAGTACACAGAATAAGGTCCAAGCTCTTCAGCCTGGCATTTAAGACTCTGAAACTGGCCTCATTCCCCTCGTTATGTGTCCTATGCTGTAAGTTGAACACTTAGTCATTTTGCAAACACATCTTAAGCCCAACCTGCTGCCTGCAGTGCCTACCCTGTTCTCCCTGCCAGCCAGAATCCTACCCAGCCTGCAGGGCCAGCGCAATGCCAGCTCCTCCTCCTCCCTCCTGGATTTCTTCCCTGATCTTGCCTCTGCCAAGATATCCAGAAGTAATCTCGTCTTCTTCTGGAACCTGCAAATGTATTTGCATTTTTCTCACTGATTCTCCTGTAACTGGTCCATCTGTGCTTCAGGATGGCCAGTGTTTCTAAAGTGCATGTTCCACCCCCATTCTTCAGCATAACCTGGAAGAACCTGTTACTATTTTGGATTCTGGGCCCTCCTGCTCAGACTGCTAGATCAGAATCTCTGAGGGGTGGGGCCAGGAACTTGCATCTTAAACAAGCTCCTTAGGAGGTTCTTGGGTGGGAACCACTGGTATGCCTAGTTGAGCAGTGACCACCTTAAGCCAAGACACAGCCTAACTTGACACATCTGTAGTGGGTCCTGCCTGTCAGTGGCTGCAAGGATCTTAGGGATGCAAAGGCACCCCAAATAGAGCTACCATAGTGCTTTGCATATAGAACCATCATGAGGAAATACAGGTAGTCCCTGATTTACGACATATTTGAGTTACAACAAACTGCACTTACAACCCTCTGGGTTTTTTTTTACGTCTTATCATTAGTAATACGTTACTACATATAATGTTGCAGCGTGTAATTTGCTGATGTCATCATTCTCAGATGTCCACTCAGATGTTCAATGTTATGATTTATAAAGATACTGATAATAAAAGGCAATAATGAAAATAAAAAATGAGGTATTCAACTTACGTCCAAACCGATTTATGAGTCATCAGAACGTTAAGTCAGGGATTACTTGTAGTTCAAAAGTATGATGATGTTCAGAGCTGTGCTCTTTCTAGTAGTGAAAGAGTAAACCACCTAACTATCCAACAACAGTGGAATAAATTAGATAGTACCTCCACCCTAAGGACTGTTGCTGTTGTTAGGTGCCGTTGAGTTGGTTCAGACTCACAGTGACCCTATAGGACAGAGTAGAACTGCCTCATAGGGTTTCCAAGGAGTGGCTGGTGGATTTGAACTGCTGACCTTTTGGTTAGCAACCGAGCTCTTAACCACTACGTCACCAGGGCTCCATACCCTAAGGATTAGCCAGCCATTAAAAGTGACGTGAGAAAATACTTATATAATTAGAGTGAAAGCAGCAGGTGCCGTAGCTAATTTCTAAAGACGGCCCTCAACAACTATGCCTCCTGTACTTGCGCCCTTGTGTAATCCCCATCCACAACGCATCTGGACTTGCCTTGTGACTTGCTGAGACTGTGACGGAAGTGATGCTATGCCAGCTGAACTAAAGCCTTAGAAAAGCCTGGCAGCTTCTGCTTCTACACTTTTGGGAACCCTGGGCCATCATGTAAGGAATCTGGCCACCCTGCTGTAGAGGCCCTGTGGAGAAGCCCAGCTGCCCCAGCATTCCCCAAACACCAGCCATGTGGGGGAGCCGTCATGGATGCTCCAGCCCAGTCAAGCCTCTGTGTGACTGCAGCCTGAGCTAACGTCTGGTAGAAAAGCAAACCCACCCAGCCTAGGTAGCCCACAGAATAGTGAGGCCTAACAAATGGCTGGGGCCTTAAGCGACTAAGTTTGGGGGTGGTTTATTATGCAGTGATAACCAGGTTACAAAATGGTACATGAAGCATAATCTCAATTTATAAAATGTACAAAATTAAAGAGGACAAATTCTATTACCAGTTAATTTTTCCTCCTGCTTTATTTTTTCGGCTGCTTAGGTTTTATATAATGCACATGTACAATGTTATATTTTATGATTTCATTTTTAATAAATTTTATTTCATTTTTAATACTTTAAAAAAAGTTGTGGATAAACGAGCATCCACTTCCTGGGCATACCTCCACCCCACCTGCCCTTTCACCCTACAGTGGCAGGTTGTCTGTTACTTGCTGCCAGAAGGTTCCTTCTCAGATATGGACCTGAGTTTCTACTTCAGGGGCCAGATTCCAGAGAAGACTACCCAGATTATAAGCAGAATCAATCTCCCTTTTCTTCCCCCGTTTTTATCCTAAGCCCAACTAATATAACCAAGTCCTTTCTTTAGGCTGCTGACGCAAGCATGAAACCATCTTTTTATACGGAGAGCACTGCCCTGGTAGCTGGCATTTGGTCCCCTGCCCTCCCTCTGGAACTGTCCTCATAACTCTTCTTCCTAACGGGTTATCACTGTCACTGAGCCTCAGAACTCGGTCAAAAGAGTGTGAAATTTAGAAAAGGACCAAGGTCAGCCAGGGCAGCTCCGACGCAGAAGGCAGTGCTGCTTGCTTAGCCAGAAAATGGCTGCCTGGCATTGGTCGCTGAGCAACTGTTGCTATGAGGGTGAAAAGACACTAACGATCAGGTCTGAAACACCTGGGCTGACCCTTCCTTCAGTTTAGTCACCTGAAGGATGCAATGGTGCAAAAAGTAGGGTTGCAAGGAGCACTTACTGGTTTACTTTAGATAGTTCATCCTATTTCAGAAGTAAACATTTTAGGCTTTTGGATGAAACCATCATGCTTCAGTCTAATATTTAAACAGCATCTAGTTCTGATTTTTAATGAAAACAGGTGACAGACACTTTGAAGTCAGCTCTAATGGGGAAGAAAGCACAATGTTTACAGAGAGGACCTTGAAAAAGAAAATCAAAGACCGCTTTTATTGACGCACCGATAGACCAACCAGCAATTTGGAAGAGATAATGTTAATACAATAAAACATCATCAAAGCAAATTAAAATATAAACGTATCTGAAACGGCTTTACAGTGACATGATGCCTTAATAAATTAAGGAAACCGAGTACTCTTTCATTGTTTTCTTATTTCATGTTCTTTACAAATTCTTCTCCTTTCTTGATTGAGGCTTTCAGCTCAGGAGTTGCCTCGGCTATCATCTTCTCTTCAAAAGAGGAGATTTTGCCAATGCCCAGGTTCTTCTCGATGCCATTTTTCTGGAGAGAGAAGGCAGTAAAATTTTATCATGGTAAAACACACATTAACATAAAATTCACCATTTAAACCACTTTAAACTGTACAATTTAGTGGCACTTAGTACATTTATAGGCACCTTGGTGGTACAGTGGTTAGGGCGTGTGGCTGCTAACCAAAAGATTGATGGCTTGAACTCACTCACCAGCTGCTCTGCGGGAAAGATGTGGCAGTCTGCTTCCATAAAGACTACAGCTTTGGAAACCCTATGAGGCAGTTCTACTCTGTCCTATAGGGTACTCTGTAGTTGGAATCGACTCAGCGGCAACAGGTTAGTACATTCATATTGTACAACCATCATCACTATTCATTCCAGAACATTTTCATCACCCCAAAAGGAAACTCCATACCCATTAAGCAGTCACTCCCTACTCTACTCCCCTCTACCCACCTGGCAACCACTAATCTGCTCGGAAGGCAGTACAATTTTACAGCGAGTCTCCACAAATAAATTTGTTGACAAAAAACCCAATCTGTGGCTTTGCCTGGACTCTGTGGGTTCTGGACGGCACAGAGAGAGCCACAATTACCAGGATGAGTCTAGGCAGGTCAGGCGCTCAGGCTTTAGGGCCAGACAGACCTAGGCTGGGATCCTAGTCCTGTCACTTACTATTATGTGTGATTTTAGAAGGGCATACTATCTATCTCAAAAGGGGTTGTGCAAACATACGTAGAAGACTTAGCACAGTACTTGGCACATGAAGTACTTCATAATTAGTAGCATTTTACTATTATTCTTCCTGACACAGAGCATACTTTTAGGTCCTAGTCTCCTCCCCAAGTGTGTAAAGGACTGAAGAAAAAAATTTTAATATTCATCTGAATCCAATATAATTAAGTAGGTAAATGACTGCCATTAAAACAAAACAAAAAACGAAACAGATGTCCTTGTCACTGTTTTCACCTCCCACTTCACTGAGTTTGAGCCTAGGAGGACACAGGCAGGTCAGGCAAGCTAGTACTGCAACTGTGACATCCAGGTGAGGCTGCCCTGCCATCTAAAGCAAAACTGAGAACTGTTTCTGCTCCAAAAATAGCCTCAGACTCAGCTTAAACAGTTTAGTCACTCTGTGAAGCCTTTCCTGACTCAAAACAATCGCACCCGTGTGTTCTTTACCTACAGGTCCCACTGCAGTCTGTGTGCACCTGTATTGCACTGGTTACTGGATGGCCTGGTTTAATATCTGTCGCTCCACTAAATGGAGCCCCCAAGGCCTAGGGTCATGCCCTACGAATCTTTGAGCACAGGGGTCTCTGTGAGAAGGGTCTCTGGGTGGCTCAGCAAGTCACAGAACTGTTTCCTTCTGGGCATGAGATGAAGACAACCATGCGTTTGCCAGAGTTCAACAGCGGCCCATACATAAGGAATGGAAACCTGGCTCAGCTTGTGTAAGCAAGACCCTGGGGTTTCTGCAAGAGTCGACCATACTGGACAGCTGCCCTCAAAGTCAGGCTGAGCCTAGCAATATGACCAGATGGGCTCAGTCCTAGATGCCACAGTTTAAATGGGACAACCGCAAACAGTAGTCATTCCAAGAAGGAAAACCAGGGGTGAGGGGCAAGGAACCAGAAATGTCTGAACTAGAAAGGCCAACAGCTAGCCAATACCTGAGGTCCTCCTTACATGAGGAATCAGACTTCGCAGCCCTCGCAGTCAGGAGAACTAACGAGTATATGCTAGAGAGAATGGTGGGAAGCTTTTTCTTTCAGGGCTGTTCATGGACTGCCATGAGACGGAGTGAGCGCTTCATCAGGAAACACTCAAGCAGATGCGATGACCAGCTGTCAAATCCTTGGGGAAGAGATTCACGTGATGGGAGGTTGATCTGGCTTTTTGGTATGAATTTTCTATCTCTTAATTCTGTGATGCACATCCATCTTTGAAAACCTAAGCACATACTAGGCAGTGATATGCAGATACTGCCCAAAGGAAATCTGAATTATAGAGCAGACGGACAGGGAAGAGCTCCTGAATCTGAAACGTAGACGCTTCCCCTTCTTCCAGCCAAAAGAACCAACCTCCAGGATACATACCCCCAGCACTAATGGTGTGGAGAAATAGGGACAGTCCGTTTCTTGAGATTTCACAAAGGCACATTCAATAACTCCTTCCTTTCCATTCATTGCATCCAAAAGGGAGAAGACAAACCGGGCACCAGCATACGCCATGGCCAAGGTGGCAGAGCCTAGGAGAACACAGCGGGTCAGCCAAACTTATACTGCAGCCTTGAAACCCGAGTTAGGCTGCCCTGCGATCTAAAGTATTTGCAAATTTTCCTGCTTAACAGTCAATAATTTGGGTCAGTATCTCTTTTTTAACATACTCATGGACAGCACTGAATTAGCTTTGCCAACCTCAAAAACCACTCCCCCACTCTAAAGCAAACTGCTGCTTTCTTATCAACTGAATACAAGTGAAATACAGAAAATTATCCACTCCTTGCCAAGGCCCATAAGGACAGGATTATCTGTCTTCTTCAACTCTGAATTCTATTAGGGCCTCCAGCATTGTCACCCACACCCTGGGTCACCTACAAGAATCTACCTGCTCCAGCTTTAGCCTTGACCACCTCCGTGCCTGCCTCCTGGATGCGCCCAATGAGGGCTGTCAGCTCATCCTGGGGAAAGTCCACTTTGGGGGTACACTGGAAGACAAAGGGAGAGGTAATCCTATGAGTAGATTCTGGCTTGTCTGTGGGTTTAAAACCTCCCAGTCACCACCCCCAAGTCCTGGTGCTCCTAACCTCACCACTCCATTGAAACCAAGACTTTTTCTTTGTCTTGGGAGATTCAGCAAAGTCCTCTACTCATTTTTAAAAAACTTAAGTTTATTTTGAACTAACTTTAGACTTACAGAAAAGTTGTAAGAATAGTACAAAGATTTCACCGGGTTTACTCCAATGTTAAGAACTTATACAACCATAGGACAATTGTAACAAAACAGAAATTAAAACACGCACATTATTAACCGTAGGCTTCACTCAAATTTCACTAAATTCCCCGCTATCTTTTCTTCTGTTGCAGGACACCATCCAGGATCCCACACTGCATTTAATCCTTTCTACTCAGGCTCTCCCCGCCTGTGACAGTGCCTTAGACTTTCCTTGTTTTCCTAACACTTTTCGGAAGTACCGATCGCCTGTTTTGTAGGATGTCCATCAATTTGGATCTGTAAGATTTTTCTCGTGATTTTCTCATAAAGGCCATTCATTTTGGCAAGAATAACTCACAAATGTTGTGTCCTTCTCAGTGTATTATATTAAGGAGCTATGATGTTGACTTTTTAAATTGTTGTAAAAATATATACAGCATTTATATATATTTAATATTTAAAATTTTTTTTCATGTGTACAATTTAGTGACATCAATTACATTAATCATGTTGTGCAACCATCATCAATATCTTTTGCCAAATTTCTATCACCATGGAGAGAAACTCAATGCTTCCTAAACAATGACTCCCCTTTTCTCCCTCCCTCCAGCCTCTGGAAACCACTAATAAAAACCTTGCTCTATGATGTTCATTTGATGTGTCTTATTCTTGGTGATGTTTACCCGGTCTCTATCTCTACTTCCTTTTAAGCCCAGCTTCTTAGCCCACTCTGGCCTAACCAGGAACCAGTAATGTTCTAACAGTAGTTTTCACTGTGTGTTGGAGCTGACCTGAAGGTGTGTATGTGGGCTGACCACTCTGAGCACCTCCTGGCCACATTCACTCCACACAGGACGTGGCTCCCTCAAATGCTGGAGCATGACCACAGCCCTACAGGCCACACCCAAGAAATCCTTACAAAAGACAGATTAGGGGTAGGGGCTGCATCCAAACCAGAAATTCTTTCAAAATACAGTAGATGGTTAACTATTTCTCAGTCTGTCTGGAGTGCTTCAGATCTAAAGGCTTCCTGCAATGGCACACACATACCTGAGAGATCAGGGGGATGATGGTCTTCCCAGCATGGCCACCAATGACAGGAACGTTGACTCGTGCTGGATCTAAACCCTGGTCATCAAAGTGTGAACCTGATTAATTTTTTTTTCCCTTTTTTAAAAAATTGATGTAATTAAATGAAGTTTACATTTCAAGTTAGTCTCCCATACAGAATTTTTTTTTTTAATATACTTGTTATGAGACCCCAACCGCTCACCCCATTCTGCGACAGCACACTCCTCCCCCCTGCCCCTGATTCCCCATGAACATTCAACCAGCTCCTAACTCTCTCTGCCTTCCCCTCTAACCTCTGGACAGAAGCTGCCCCTTTGGTCTCTTATACCTACTTGTCTAAGAGGCACATTCTCCACTAGTTACCACTTTATGTCCCACAGTCCAGTCCAATCCCTGTCTGAAGAGTTGGCCTCGGAAACTGTTTTAGTTCTGAGGTGATGGAGAGACCAGGGGCCATGCTTTCTAGGGCGCCTCCAGTCTTAATCAGACCATTAAGTCTGGTCTTCTTACTAGTATTTGAGTTCTGCATCCCATTGTTCTACTGCTCCATCAGGTACCCTCTGTTCTGTTCCCTGTCAGGACGTTCATTGGTGGTAGCTGGGCACCATCTAGTTCTTCTGGTCTCAGGCTGATGAAGTCTCTGGTTTGTGTGGCCCTTTCTGTCTCTTGGGCTAATACTTTCCTTGTGACTCCTGTGTTCTTCATTCTCCTTTACTCCAGGTGGGCTGGGACCAATCGATGCATCTTAGATGGCCGCTCACTACCTTTTAAGACCCCAGACGCCACTCACCAAAGTGGGATGCAGAACATTTTCTTAATAAGCTTTGTTATGCCATTTGACCTGGATGTCCCCTGAAACCATGGTCCCCAGACCCCTACCCCTGCCGCTCTGTCCCTCAAAGTGTCTGGCTGTATTCAGGAAACTTTTTAGCTTTGCTTTAGTCCAGTTGTGCTGACTTCCCCTGTAGTGTGTGCTGTCCTTCCCTTCACCTCAGATAATTCTTGTCTGCTATCTGGTTAGTGAATAACCCTCTCCCTCCCATATCACCCTGGTAACCATCAAAGACTGTTTTCTTCTGTGTTTACACCTTTTCTTGAGTTCTTATAATAGTGGTCTTATGCGGTATTTGTCCTTTCGTGACTAAGTTCACTCAGCATAATGCCTTCCAAATTCCTCCATATTATTTTTCACGGATTCATCATGGTTCTTTATCGTTGTGTAGCATTTCATTGTGTGAATATACCATAATTTGTTTATCCATTCGTCCGTTATGGGCACCTAGGTTGTTTCCATCTTTTTGCTATTGTGAACAGTGCTGCAATGAACATGGGTGTGCATATACACTATTGGTGCAACAGCTCTTATTTCTCTAGGATATATTCCCAGGAGTGGGACTGCTAGATTGTATGGTACTTCTCTATTTCTAGCTTTTTAAGGAAGCGTCAAATCGATTTCCAAAGTGGCTGTACCATTTTACATTCCTACCAACAGTGTACTAAGTGTTCCAGTCTCTCCACAACCTCTCCAACATTTATTATTTGGTGTTTTTTGGATTAATGCTAGCCTTGCTGGGGTGAGATGTTATCTCATTGTAGTTCTGATTTGCATTTCTCTAATGGCTAATGATCATGAGCATTTCTTCAAGTGTCTGTCAGGAGCCTGAATGTCTTCTTTGGCGAAGTGCCTGTTTATATCCTTTGCCCATTTTTTAATTGGGTTATTTGTCTTTTTGTTGTTGAGGTTTTGCAGTTATCTTGTAGATTTTAGAGATTAGATGCTGACTGGATTTATCGTAGCCAAAAATTTTTTCCCAGTCTGTGGGTTGTCTTTTGACTCTTTTGGTGAAGTCTTTTGATGAGCGTTAAGTGTTTGATTTTTAGGAGCTACCAGTTATCTAGTTTCTCTTCTGGTGCTTGTGCACTGTTACTTATGATTCATATTTTGTTTATGCCATGTATTAGGCCTCCTAGCATTGTCCCTATTTTTTCTTCCATGACCTTTATAGTTTTCGACTTTATATCTAGGTCTTTGATCCATTGTGAGTTAGTTTTTGTGCATGGTGTGAGGTATGGGTCTTGTTTCAGTTTTTTGCAGATGGATATCCAGTTATGCCAGCACCATTTATTAAAGAGACTGTCTTTTCCCCAATTAACACACTTTGGGCCTTTGTCAAATATCACCTGCTCACAGGTGGATGAATTTATGTCTGGATCCTCAAT